TGTTGGATATTCATATACTATATAATCAAGAAAAACTCCTACTTCATAATATACACACACAAAAACTCAAAACAAATGAACCATCCATATGTGACAGATACAAGTATAAAATTCTCAGAGGAAAATATGTGAGTCACTGTTTGTTACTTCAGCTTAGGTTATAGCTTCTTAGATACAATACCAAAAGCACAAGAAACAACAGAAAAAAAAACAGATAAATTGGACTTGATCAAAATTAAAAACATTTGTGTTTAAACAATATTCCCCATGAAAGTGAAAAGATAGTGTATGAAGTGGGAGAAAATATTTGTAAGTCATATATCTGATAAGGATTAGTATAGAGAATATGAACTGAACACTCACAACTCAAAGAACAAGTGAACATTTACAAAATGTCTAAATTCTCTGAATAGGCATTTCTCCAAATAAGATATTTGAATCGTCAATGAGCACATAAAAAGAGTTAAAATCATTAGCTGTGAGAGAAATGCAGATCAAGACTTCCATTACAATGACTATAATCAAATCACTGATGTGACAAGTGTTTGTCAGGATATGGAGAAGCTGGAATCCTTTTACACTGATGGTTGGATTATAAAGTGATACAACCACTTCAGAAAAAAAAAATTGGTATTTCCTCAAAACTTTAAGCATAGAATCACAATAGGAACTGGAAATATACTCCAGGATATATAGCCAAGAGATATGAAAAAAGTATTTCCACACATAAATTTGTATATCAGTGTTCATAACAGCACTATTCATAATAGACAATGTGGAAACAACCCAAATGTTTATCAACTAATGAATGGATAAACAATCAATGCTATATATACACAATGGAATATCATAGAACAATGCAAAAGAAGGAATTATTGATACATATTATAAAATGGACTTTGAAAACATTATGCTACCTGAAAGAAGCGAATTACAAAAATCCATCATATTGCATTATTCCATTTATAATAATATTTAGAATAGATGCATCCATAGAGAGAGAAAGTTTGATGATTGTCTCGTGCTGGGATGGGAGATTTGGTGTGCTAATGAGTATGTAGTTTATTTTTGAAGTAATGAAATATTCTAAAATTAGATTGATACTGCTTTAACACATCTGTGAATATATTAAAAACTATTTACTTTTATACTTTTGAAGTGTGACCACTGTACTATGTGAATTATATCTCAATAAAGTTATTTAAAATTATCCATGCTAACTACAAGGTCTTCCTTAGTGGCTCAGTCAATAAAGAATCTGCCTGCAATGCAGGAGACATGAATTCGATTCCTGGGTCGGGAAGATCGCTAGAAGAAGGAAATGGCAACCCACTCCAGTATTCTTGCTTGGAAAACCCCTGGACAGAGGAGCCTGGTGGGCTACAGTCCATGAGGTTTCAAAAGAGTCAGACACAACTAAATATGCTAACTACATCTATTCAACACAGATTACTATTACTTTTTAAAAGTTGAATATTGCCTGAGAGTTATTTTAGCAAAGTTTTTCAATCTTACTGGCACTCCCTTTCCGCAGGTCAAAATACCATTTGTATTGGTTCAGAAATGATGTTTACAGTTTTTACAGCCATTAAATTTCCATGTTTACTTTAAAAATTCACTTAAACCTATAAACACTGAATCAATTTGGAGGATGCTATCAAAGTACTTCTACTGTTAGGGATACATTGTACTTATTTAGTACCTTTTAAAGAAAGCTCAAAATGTTCTAACTATTAACTTCTAAGTTGCTATGATGTCCATGAGAGTTGAGAAGACAGTTAATTAAGTAACAATAATAATTGCAACAAACCTAAATTTATATCATTTGTCTTCCAATATCTTCACATAAGTTATCATCAATTATTAATCTGTTATCAACATAGCACTCAACAAAAATAGGTGTAATGGCATGAACATAATATGGAAAATGAATGGCAGCTTGGAGCCCAATATTGTTACAATCAAACCCCAAAGGAATGGGGTCAGCATGAAATAGAGCTGGGCTATATAATGTGGTATTCCACAGTGACTCTAAAGCAGAGCCAATTTCAACTTCCTAGCTTCCTCATGTATTCCTCAATTTGTATTCAGCCACCTATATAGCCTGGAACTAGACTATACTCCAGGAATAGAACCTCAGCTTGAAGATACTTGGCACAACAGAGAAAAGAGACAGATAACTCTGTCATATAGTCCCAATGTCAGAAACTTAGAAAATTGCTTGCTTGCTTATACTTTCATAGCTAGAAAGTTGACAAGATGGTCACTGGTTTTATCTTTCTAAGTCCTGATCTACTAATAATACAGGTATGTAATAGAACATCGTCAAAATCTTGGATAACTACCATGGGCTGAACGTTTGTATCCCAGCTCAATTCACATGTTGAAATCTAATCCCCAAGGTGCTGGTATTTCAAAGTGGGGCATTTGGGAGATGATTAGGTCATGAGAATGGAGCCCTCAAAAATGGGACTAGTTTCCTTATAAAAGAGACCCTAGAGAGAGCTCCCTTGGCACTTCTAACACGTGAGAAGTCAGTGAAAAGATAGCTATCTATGAATTAAGAAGCAGGCACACACCAGACACTAAATCAGCCAGCAGCTTGATCTGGGGCTTCCAAGACTCCAGAACTATTAGAAATAAATGTTTGTTGGGTTTTAAGTCACCCTGTCTATGATATTTTTGTACTAGTAACCCAAATGGATTGCCATTAATCTTCATGGACTGCACTTGCCCAGGCTGCCTTGGTTCCATAAGATCTCCATTAATTAAAATAAAGGTGGGACATAAAAATAATGTGTCAATTATATTTCAATTCTGCAAACACTGTCTACCATACTGTCTCAGGTCAAGTTGGAGGAGGTCTGTTATAATATAAATAGAAATATATAGGCTTTTAATACATAGATTATGGTGAAGTTGAGAGCTGATTTCCAATATTCTTTCAGTTATTTATTTCTCAACCACCTTGTGATAACTGTGGGCTGTGCAATATTTTACTTGAAATGGAATGTAAAGAAGACCTGGACTAGCAGAGGTTCATTAACTTTCCAACCATGATGTAACAAGTATAAGAAAGTTTATTTGCCAGGAATGTACAAGGATCCTTGCACAGATTGTCATTTCATATACAGCATTCCTGTGAAACAGGTATTATTAAATGCATTATACAAATGAAGAAACTGTTACACAGAGAGTTTATGACACTTGTCTGAGGACACACAAGTAGAAAGTAGCAGAGCCTAGATTTGAATCCAGGTCTGTCTGGTTCTAAATCCATGTCCTAATTTCTGTCAGATTGTCTTTCTTTAAAGAGATTACTTTTCAAAAAAAAAATGTAGCTAAGTTTTATTCCATTTAAAAGTTACTTTCATATAAAATAAACTTAATTTCTTTAAACTTTCACTCAGGAAAAAAGATAAAGACTATAAAAATGTAAAACCATAGGAGCAATCAGTTTGAAAAAAACTAAAAATTAAACTCTGCACTCTCAAGCCTCCAAATACTCTATATTGTTAGGCTGTATGGTAAAGTAGAAAAAAGAAACCCCACATGATGCATTTCTGAGTTGGAATCTTGGTTCTGTCCTGTATTGGCTGTATGATTCTAGACATGATATTAAGATGTGGATTAAATGCTTATGTGATCAGACTGCCATGAAGATTAAATTAGATGAAGTATACAAATTTACTGATGGTGCCTAGTACATGCAAGGTCCTCAACAATTCATAAATGTTATTGTTATGGTTGTTAGGAGCAACACTGAGGGGATGAAGAAGTACAAAAGAGTTAGGTGAATGAAAGGGGGCATTGTGGAGGATCCTACAGGTATGGTTCAATGTTACTTTAATCATGCCTTAGGAAAGAACAAACATAGAAAAATGAAAAGATCCTTAATAAGAAATGTCTACTAATGATGATGATGGAGTAGTCTTCTGTTAGAGGTAGGTGCCAGAAGGATACTTCCTATACTCTTTTATTGCTTTTCATTTTGTAGCAGGGAACTATAAGATAAAAGGAGTCAAGAGAAGTTGGTTCTTTATATTGGTTAAGAATAGCCTGGAAGCATTTTAAATACAGATAAAAAATACTGTATTTGAAAATTAAAGGGTCTAGCTAGTAGCAAGAAAAAATAGCAAACATTCCTGTCCTGCTATTCAAATTCTCTGAAGCAGATTTTCCAGAGAGAAGATCTATGGCCTTAAGAGATATTCTGAAGTAGGTTTATACCTCACTGTTGAGACTATTTGAAGCATATATAAATAACTGAATATGTGAAACAGTAAAGAAATAATGCCTATTTTTGCACAGGTCTAAAATTGTTTTAATTCTCACTCTGAACTTATCTCTTCCTTATAAAACAACACAGTATTGTAATTATCCTCCAATTAAAAATAAATAAATTTAAAACAATAAAAAATAAATGTTTTTAAAAAGACAGTTTGATTAATGCTGTACTTAATGTGTTAATAAAGCATTTACTCAAAAAAAATTGGCTGAGTTATTGCAGGCTCTGACTTCTCAACCATTGTCACCTAGAGCAATGATTGACTTGCCTGGCTATGTACCCAGGGAAGACACCACTCATCTAGTGACATCTTCCAAAACTGCAAGTAAAAACCATAGCAAGAATTATCTATGTTCAAGAGGATGCATCTAGACAATTTAGTCCTATTTTAGTGAGGAGAAATGCCATGCTTCCCATAAGGCTATTATTGCCTGGACCAGATAATTTTAAATGTTAGGAGAAGGTTGCTATGCTGCAGCAATTATTAACTTCCATGAAAAAAAAAGGACTCATCATTTTTAAACATGACAAAGAAAGCGTAAAATTCTTTAAAGAGTTGACCCCCAAACTGCCATTTAGAAGAAAAAAAAATTCAAATTACTTCAAAATATGAGTTAAGTGACCCAGGTATCAAGTCTAGTTGATTACCAACACAATTTTTTTATACCAACAAATATTTATGAAACCTTTATAAAACAAACTTACACATTACCTGGTAATTGTTTTGGTTTTGTGATAACCTCAATTGGTTTGATGATGCGAAATGTGAAGAAAAATTACTTCGTGATGGATTTGTATTACTGTACATTGCAGTAGACGCTGTATGTAATGAGGTCCGTGGTGTCAAATGGTATTCTCTGTTTTGATACAGTACATTGTCTGACAAGTCTCTAATATTCACCATTTGTGAATTTGGCATATTTCTTCCTTGTCCAGGCAAAGTTGTACTTTGGTTCTCAGCTCGAAGGGAACTGCCACTTTCATAAAATCTTGAGTAGCTTGGTATCTGTGCTCCCATCAATGCCAATTCTTCCTCTCTGGCATATTCATCATTAACATCTCCAGTCTCCATTGCAATGGACAAACAAGTTCCTTCTGTTGAATTAGGAGGCTTCTGTGGGGCATTTCCTCCCAGAATTCTCTGTGGGTAATCACTAACTGCCAGTGAAAATACTTCACGGATTTCCAAATTTTGTGTTCTGCAGTAAGGGTCTCTAACTGATGATTTTTGCCCACATAAGTTATGTGATGCTAGACCTGTGTGTTCAGGCTTATATGACCTTTGAATTCCAACTGGTTCAATTTTGCAAGGTCGGTGGCACACAGATGGCTTTTGAGGTACCGTCATCTCAGAGGCTTGCACTGAAGAGCTTCCATAGTTTTTCTTTGTGTGATTGTATACAGAATTTCCAGCATTTAGCACACTTGTCTGTCTTGACAAAATAATTGTTTTTTCACCTAAGAGTAAAGAGGCATTTTTACAGTGTGCTACTTGTCTTTGAACAGGAATGTGCAACTGAAACTCAGTATCATTTTTACTGGCTGTTTTCTGGATAGGGATTTTATGTGCTTCTGTAATTTGTGTATTTGAATGCTTGGTCGTCTCTTGTCTACTTGATGAACTGGCTGGACTGTATATACCAGTTATGATGACATCATTATTGGGCGATGTCCAAGAAGACTGTTGACTTGAGGGTGAAGCAATATTAACCACATTTCTGACTGTAACATCTGGAGCTGCCAAAGAAGTACCAGAAACAGTTCCTGCTGTTGCTGCTCCTGATTCAGAATTCTTACTACTCATTTTTCTTCTTTTATTGCCAACCCACGTCTGGAAGGATAAAAAATATATATATATTATGGAAAAGTTCTTAATAAAAAATAAGAAAATCAATTTCTATGTGATAAATTATATTTTCATTTGTCATAAATCAAGGCCTATACAAATTTAAAGGAAAAATATATAGTAAAAGAAAAAGCAAAATATAAGATCAGAGACCATCAGGAACCAGCACATAATAAATATGTAGAAACATTGATGTGAATTGTTTGTGAAAGTTGCTCTATTGTGTCCAACTCTTTGTGATCCTGTGGACTATACAGTCCATGAAATTCTCCAGGCCAGGATACTGGAGTGGGTAGCCTTTCCCTTCTCCAGGGGATCTTCCCAATCTAGGGATTGAGCCCAAGTGTGCTGCATTGAAGGCAGATTCTTCACCAGCTGAGCCACAGGGAAGCCCAAGAATGCTGGAGTGGGCAGTCTATCCCTTCTCCAGTGGATCTTCCCAACCCAGGAATCAAACCCAGGTTTCCTGCACTGCAGGTGGATTCTTTACCAACTGAGCTATCAGAGAAGCCCCAGAAACTTTGGTAGAATAGTATTATTGTTTTTCTCCTCAAAATCCAGACAATTAATCTGTAGCAAGAACTCTGTTCTATGAATATATCATAACTTGGTTAATTAAATATTGCTAGGAATTTAGATTACTTTTAAAGTATTCACTATTATAAGCCATATTGAAATACACCATTGTACATGCATCATTGTTCTATTAGTCCATTAGAATGCCATCCTAGAAGGAAAATTGCTTGACTTTTTGACATTTTCAAATTACCCTCCAATGTATAAAAGTACTGGTTTCCCCACACCTCAACAACACTTTGCATTATCCTTTTGTAGTATCTATAAGCCCGGGAGTTAAGAAAAGTTATATAATTGCTGTTTAGATTTTAGTTTCTATGGTTACTTTCATTGAATTTCTTAAACGTTACCTATACCAGTTAAAAAAAAAACAATTTTTATATTGGGGTGTTTGTCATTTTTAATTGATTTATAACAGTAATTTTCTACTAGAGTTGGCAGCACTTTGTCACAAGTTGCAAAAACTTTTCCAGTTTGTCATTAATTTATGGTAGCTATTTTCTTTTTTATGCTTTTATATACTTACTGAATTTTATACACTGAATATATATTATTTTTGTTTTCTTTTAGCCTTTCTTTTTTCTTTCTTTTTTTGGCCACCTTATTTATTTTTCAATTGAAGGATAATTGCTTTACATAATTTTGTTGTTTTCTGTCAAACATCAACAAGAATCAGCCATGGATATAAACAGAAAAATCAATAAAAATAATACCAGTTGTTGGCATTTAGGATTTGATTACAAAATACATACTTTTATATAAGTATTATAACAATATTTGTATTACTACACTGAATCATTTTCCCTTTTAAGATGTACAATAAATATTATGCTGCACAAAACAATCACTAAAATTTATAATTATTTTAAAATGCATATCATCTTATAAACTACTAAAATACATTAATCTATTTAAGAACTTCAAAAAATAAATAAGCAAAAACATTAAATGGCCTAGCCTTGCACAAACGTGGTGCTAGGTGTTTTTGGTTAATTTAATGGGATGTACTTTTGAAGACTGCACAAATCATCCAATATTCAACATATATTTTATATTATATACAACATCAGATGTTGTAAAACTATAAATAAAAGCTAACACTGAATTCCATTATGTGTTTATATATATATATATATACTACTTTGCTAGGCATAATTTTTCTAATTTTATAAATGAAGAAATTGAGAATCAGAAATATTAAGTAGCTTGTAGAAGGATCTCCTGACCAGTTACTGGCAGAGCAAGGAATCAAAATCAATTTAATTTTAACCTCAACGAACATTATCCTTTCACTATGGTGAGAAACTCATGAAATGGAGTTGGCCATTTCTGTGGGTCACTTTAATTTTATAATTAGTACTTATCTAATAATATGTTCTAGAAACAGAGGTGCTCGCTCCATTCTGCTTCACAAGAGGCTGTGGGAATGTAAAACTCACTGTTATGTAGTTTACTAAAGAGTAGAAGTGAGGATTACAAGCAGAGAGACAAATGAATATAAATGTCACAAGAGAAGGAGGTAGGGGGAAAATTACAAGATTTTAAAGTATATACTCAAGAGTAATATTTAAAAAGAAATGTTTGTGAATAAGTATAATTTCAATTTATTGTTCAAAAAGGTGAATATTACATATACTCAAAATAAATCACTGTGTTATGACTTTTCAAATAAGAAGAATATGCACAGGAAGCATGATGCTTTGTAATTTTAAAATTAAAAAATTTTCAATGGGAAAGCATAGTGAATTGATAAAATTTGAACTCAAGATCTACTACATCTGGAGGGCAGCTCTGGGCAAGATTTCTAAGAAAACAAACAACCTATCATTTTCCCATCATAGTATCTATCTTAACACAAGAATTTTAAGAGCAATATTATTACATTGCAAATTTATGGCTTACTTTAATAGTTTTATAGTTCACATATGTAATTACTTAAATAGTTTACTAGATATTTATATCATGTACCCATGAAAAGCAAAATGCAATGGAATATCAAATGAATATGAAACTCAGCTGTCTAACAATCTCACTTGTTCAGAATGCAGCCAATACAGATGTCACAAGATCCATGTACTTTACTGAAAGGAAAATCCTTGATCTTAAAACACTTAATCTTATTTTGCACATAATTTTACCAAACCTGGTAACTTAATCTATAGTAAATCAGAAATAACAAAACAAGAGGGGCAATAGTGATCGCTGTTGAAAGCACCTTGATAGCACTAAAACTAAGAATTTTCATTAAATATTACTTGCTAAAAAGAAGAAAGGAAAATCATAAGAGAACTGATGTGAGAAATCGTTAAATGTCTGGGGTTCTTTAGTAAAGGAGAAAATCACCTCGTATATCTTACCATGTTATAAGCATCATTATTTTATAGCACAGTATAGTAATATATTTCCACAGTAAAACTCTGAGTCAAAAAGTAAAGATTCAGTTATTTTCAATAGTTTCTATTCAAATAAAGTAGGAAAGTATATAGTTAAGAATTACTTTATATTAAAATGTTGAAAATAAAGAGATTTCATTACCTAAGGGTTCCCAGTAACAGAATTAAATTTTACTAAAAGTCATTCAGCCACAGGATCCAAAATTGACCAATGCATATAGAGTATAAAAGATTCTCATTCCAAAAGTTTCATTGGTGAGAGGAAAAAAAAATGGGTTAATCAAAATTAATATGATGGACATTTGGGGTTTGGAACTAATAAAGTGATACTACATAGAAAAAAAGAAAGGTAATGAACTTGGGTAACCTATCCTTAGTGTCCATAAAATTATTTTTCAGTCAACTTTTTAGAAATTCAACGTCTCCAAACTTTTCCTTTTTCTATACTTCCTTCTTTGTTTTCCTGTTCTTTTACCCCACAATATATATAGGTATATAGATATACTGTGCTTAGTCACTCAGTCATGTCTGACTCTTTGCGACCCCCATGAACTGTAGCCCACCAGGCTCCTCTGTCCATGGGATTCTCCAGGCAAGAATACTGGAGTGCATTGTCATGCCCTCCTCCAGGGGATCTTCCCAACCTAGGGATCAAACCCAGGTCTCCCGTACTGCAGGCAGATTCTTTACCATCTGAGCTATCAAGGAAGCCCAAGCATACTGAAGTGGTTAGCCTATCCCTTCTTAAGAGAATCTTCCCAACCCAGGGATTGAACTGGGGTTTCCTGCATTGTAGGCAAATTATTTACCAGCTGAGCTACCAAGAAAGCATATATATATATATATATCTCCTAGGTGTTTTAGCCTTTTAAGTTCTTTACACATTGGGATTAAGTTCTTAGTACAGTGAGATTTCCGTTCTTTCGAGTAAGCACAATAAGTACTATACTAAAATAATAAGGGAAGATTTCCTTCAAGTAGAATATGTAGACTTATCAAAATATCAGAGGCAGGGGAGGTTGTGGAATAGTGAGTCTATAAACAACTCACTTCTCCTCTGGCTAAAAAGCCACCAAAGTTGTGCTGAAATTTAGATTAGGAAGATGGAATTTCTGTAGAATTTACACTCTCCTAGAACAGAGAGAATGAATCCATTTTACACAATTCCATATAACTTGCATAATATTTTACTTGCAAACTTGTATTCTAGAAAGTTCCTTTCTTTCATTTCCATTATTTATTATAGATTTCACACCATTTGGAGCATAAATATAAGCCTTTGTATTTCAACACTCTCAATATTCAAGTACAGTCAAATAAGTCATTAGCAGGAAGATTGTAATTGAAAATTGGAAATATGAAAGGTCCACAAAGTAGCTGCCTAAGAAGACTTTTCACTTTAAAATAATGGTAAAATAAGAGATAAGAAAAGAAAGAAGTTATTGCAGGGGAAAAAAAACCATGAGTTTTTACTTATAAAATAGAAATCTCATCAGCTTGAAATATTACATATTTAAATTTTTTCCTAAGGCAATTAGTTTTTTTTTCTCTCAAATTTACCAGAGGGATTGCAAATAGGTAATTTAGAGCTAGCAGTTGGAGACATTTCTAGTTCTTACACAAATCTGAGTATGATCTCAGCACAGATATCGTGGATATCAGCGCCCCCCCCCCAACTAGAATTAGTGACAAAATTCCCTATATGAAGGTAAATATATCCTTCAGTCAAAAAAAATAGACTTTCCAAAGAATTCTTATCAAGGTATTTTATCTTTGGGAGTCTTTGAATGTTCCTTCAACAGAAAAATAAACTTAGAGTCCTTTCTGTTACCAAATTAGCCTAATGAATGACAAAGTTGGGGAAGTTGCTACTCTTTGAATCCCTAAATTTTCAAACCAGCAGGATTTCCAGCATTTTCAGACAACCATAAAAGGACCTATATTCTCACTATGAAATCTGTGACTAGTTCTGTTACATTTATCTCTTGCCTCCTCTCTGTCACCTTCTCACTGCCTTTTCCAAATGTGTAGCAGCTCTGATTTCTAATGGCTGAATAACTATGATTGTAAAAAAAGGATTTTTTTTCCCTAGGGATTTTCTGTCCCTTACCTTGTAACCCATTAAAATGCATACATTTTACTTAGAAGGAGATGTGGAATTTATAAAAGACTACGTTTTCCTAAAAAGACATAAATACTAAAGTCATAAGTGCCTGATGAAAAAATTTAAATGCATCAAGAAAATATGCAAAGTCCCTTGGTAAATGCATGTTTTACTGATATCAATTTGGAGGGTTATATCTATATTAATTCTAGGTATAAACAAAGCATGAGATCAACAACTAATCCTAAAGGTACCTATAAGTAGAAAGGACTGGGATTTTTTTTAAAGATATTTTAAAAATGAAAAATTTTAGTGCTTTCAAGCTATTTGTAGAAAAAATACATATTAAAGAATTGTGTTTATTAAAAATAGTAATTTTATACAAGGGAAATTAAGCTATTTATAAAGTTAGTGACTTCATATCCTGATAGTTTTTTTCATATTAAGCAATTATTCCTTGCAATAAAAAGTATTAAATTCAAGAGTTTAAGACCTGAATACTTACCCTGACTACACTGAAGTCCAGCTTAGTCTCCTGTGCACACTGTAATATGAGCTGAAAGCAATTTTTACTTTGATTTGTCATTCCATTTTCATAATAACGCTGTAAAATCCTTTGTTGCTCTACAGTAAATACAGAACGTAGATTCATCTAAAAATAAAAGAAGATACTCTGAAAATTGGAATAAAAAATGGGTATGTGTAGAATTTGCATGTTTTTGTTTTTTTAAAATAACTTCAGTGCTTTCAAGTTGTGAGTTTTTTTTAAGTGAAATATTTTCAGTAATGGGCAATAATTTGTGTGCCAAAGGGAGACAGGTTCTCACTGAAAATTATGCATAATGTGAACACTTATTGAACTTGTTCAGAAAAAATATCACCTTTAAAGACAAAAAAGAAGAAAGCCCTTATCTGGATAGTGTCAGTGCATAAGGAAAAAAAAAACAGTTCTTTCACCAAAACAAGTATTTATGGCTAGTAAAGCCAGAGATAGGTAGCCATACATGGTCAACTCACTGCTCTTTGTCAAGCAAAGCATCTGGCATATGTCTTACAGATAGAAGCTGTGCTCTGGAACAGAAAGGTGCTTTCATTTATTTTTTTCTTTTTCTGGAATAAAGGGGTTTATTTTAAACAGAAGTCAAAATCTCTCTTTAAAGCTTAAAAATAACCAGGAAGGTTTAGTGACTGTGAAAATGTGTTTGCTTTACACAATACTAAACAAAATAATTATTTTTAACAGCTACAGTATATAAACCCAAATTAAAAATCATGTACATTTTCCTAAAAATAAACCATGTACTTGCAACTGACATCATAATTAGGCAAGAGAAATTTTCTTAAAAACATAGTATTCTTCTTGTTAATAGGCAAGATGTTTAATATTATGGGAACAACTCTGTAAATCTCACAAATAAGAGGCAAGCCAAGCTCTTCATAAAGAAGATGAATTCCGGTAGTACATTTTATAAAGAAGAACACATAATTAGATAAAGGCAATTTCAGGTTTCTTTTAAAAGTTGTCACACCAAAACTGTTATTCCTAGAAGTTGACAGAAAGAAAACCTTCTTTCCAAGGAATGAATCCTTTCAAAATTAGGAAAACAGTAGCAACAAAAACAAACCAAACAGAAATCATTCTAATATGCTGGGTATGCAAACAACTAAGTACACTGACTTGGAAAATTAACTTCCCTTTTAAAAATATGTTGAACAATAAAGAAGTTTCATAAAGAAATTAAAGATAGCCATATAGATATCCAGTGCAATCTGTACACATAGCTTTTTTTTTTCTACACCATACAAATGTCTTCCTATATAATATTAAGAGATTTGATGAGAGAAATTCACATGTAGAAGAGGGTAGGAACATTCAGAAACAAACTACTTTACAAAGAGAATGCCAATGTGGAAATGTAAACCTCTTATCTGCAAACTGACCAAATTTTCAAGAATGTTTGGGCCAGAGTGTAGGGACAATATTCATCAAAGCAATATTACTATCATGTGTATCAGTTTTCAGAGCAATTCTGGGCTCCTTTTCCTAAATGGTTTAGCTACAGTCAGGAGATGAAGTTCAAACCCCTGAAATATCTCATCTGGTGTGGATTAAGTAGTAAAGTACTTTTGAATGAGATTTGAGGAAAATATAGAACAAAATTACATATGTTATAGTTCAACTATATGTTACAATTGATTTTTTAATTACATAAATTAAGAATTTTAGTTGGAGTTTCACTATCAAACTCTCAAAAATTAAAAGAATGAATACAAAAATTAATAGAATGAATAGACAGAAAAGTAGAAAAATACAGTAGACTGGAAAAGCACAGTGAAGCAATTCAACATAATTAAGATTTATATAATTTTCAAACAACAGCAGGATACAAATTCTATTTAAGTTCCCATAGAGTATAAACCAGGAGACACTAGACTTTATCCAGGGACACAAAACAAGGTGCAAAAGCTTCATGGTCTAAAGGTATTGAAATCATAGAATCTGTTCTCTTATCACTGTGAAATTATGTTAGAAATCAATATCAAAAGATATTAGGAAATGACCCTATTTTCAAGTGCATTGTGACATTTACCAAGAGAGATCTTTGACTTAGCCATTAAAAGTCTCAATAAAGTTGAAAGACTGAAAAAACACAGAGGGTGATTGCAGAGAAGAAAGCATTTAAATGAGAAATTAATATCAAAATGAGAAATTAATGTCAAAGATATTTTTAAAATCCCATGAATTTGGAAATTAAATGTCTGCTTTTAAATGATGGGTGTATCTAAGAAGTCATAGCAAAGAAAATTAGAAAATATCCATAACAGTACAAAAATGAAAAGAAAAATAATTTTTAAATTTATTTTTTATTTAATTTATTTATTTTAATTTGAGGCTAATTGCTTCCAATATTGTAGTGGTTTTCGCCACACATTGACATGAATCAGCCAGAGGTGTACATGTGTTCCCCATTCTGAAAACCCTCCCACCTCCCTCTCCATCCCACTCCTGCACTGGGTCATCCCAGTGCACCAGCCCTGAGCACCCTGTCTCATGCATTGAACCTGGATGGGTGATCTATTTCATAGATGACAATATACATGTTTCAATGCTATTCTCTCAAATAATCCCACCTTCGCCTTCTCCCACAGAGTCCAAAAGTCTGTTCTTTACATCTGTGTCTCTTTTGCTGTCTCATATATAGGGTCATTGTTACTATCTTTCTAAATTCCATATATATGCATTAATATATATTGGTGTTTTTCTTACTGACTTACTTAATCTCAAAAATATACAAGCAGCTCCTGCAGCTCAATTCCAGAAAGAAAATACTTATCAAAATTTGTTCCATACAGCTGAAACTGTTCAGTGCAACTAAATGCAATGAGGAATCTTGAATAAGGCATGAAAACAAATAATGGATACTAGAATAAAATTTTGTGAAATTTGAACAAAATCTCTAACTAATAATACTGTTTAACATGTACATTTTGTTTTGTTTTGCTTTGATTTTTTACAACATATTATTTCTTTATATTCTTAGAACTGGATTAGATGCTTCAAACATTGGGAAGACCCAGAGGGATCGGGTGGAGAGGGAGGTGGGAGGGGGGATCGGGAAGGGGAATACATGTAAATCCATGGCTGATTCATGTCAATGCATGACAAAAACCACTACAATATTGTAAAGTAATTAGCCTCCAACTAATAAAAATAAATGGAAAAAAAATATTTTAAAATGACTAAAATAATAAGCCTTTTAGATTTTAGCAGTAATACTAGATGCCAGAATAAATGAAACTATATCAAAGTTTTGAGTGAATATAAATTAGAAATCTAGCATTCTATTCATACTTTAGTCAAATGAAACCAAAATGTTATAAATTTTTTAGCTAAGCTTTTGCACACACACACACATAGTGTGTATAATATTATATATTTTAGAACTTTGTTATGAATTTTATGAATTTTTTCTCAAAAAGTTCATTCTTTACCTGCTCAACTAGATATACCCTATAATCAAGAAAACTTATTATCTCCAGCTGCCTTCATTATCTTGGCCGATGGAGAGGCAAGTCATTGAATGCATGAAGTTCTTAATCATCTGTACAAACACCAGGAAAAGAGTTGAAAATTTTTTCATTCTAAAAGTTGGGTTGTTATTTATGTGGAAGATAAAATGACAACCCATTGGATTCATGAAAATTGAGACCCACTGGGTTGAGTGAGGGAAGGTAACCGAATTAAGGGATTAAATATCAAAATAACAAGTCATTTAGCTTTACCTCATGAGTCTAATAAATACTCTTTGCATTGTAGCAACCACTGAAAATATGCCAGCCCACAAGTAATAAGACAATCTGTGCCTTACTTTTTAGCTTCACTGGAGACTATTTGGTAAATCATTAATTCCTATGAGCATCCATCTCCTACTCAGTAAAATTCTGGATTATATGACTTGGTTTATTTACCAATCTGGACTGTTGCAAATAATTTAAGATATGTCACCTCATCTTTCTTAGTGCTTTTGTTGTTGTTGTTGTTGTTTGTCTGTGACTTGCAGCTTCCAGTATCTTAGTTACCTGACCAGGGATTGAACCCAAACACCCTGCAGTGGAAGTGTGAAGTCTTAACCACTGGACTGTGAGGGAATTCCTATTTTTCTTAAATTCTAAAACATGCTACAGTCGTAACATATTTATATATTTTTAGGATAATGAGACCTTTCCATTTATCTATCATAGTCATATGGAATTTCTTAGGTTGCTCTCTGCTTTAGAATTTGGCTTTTTAATGAAGACCCTGAGCCACTGGGAAATGATTAAATTATGTTTAGCATGTTCTATGCAACCAAACAGAGCAATGGGTGAAATATTTTAGATATACTGCTTTGGAAGTACTTGAAAAATACAACTTTGAGGAATGACTGTCTCCTTAGGAGTTCCAGATAGCTAAGGCTGTATTTTTGCATTGGAATATTTCAGATAAATTCCTATGAAATACTCTTTTTATATATCAGATATCATACTTAAAACCAGTGTTAATAATGCCCTAAAATTGTATTAAGTGGGCTTCCCTGGTGGCTCAGACTGTAAAGAATCTGCCTGCAATGCAGGAGGCCCCACTTCAATCCCAGAGTCAGGAAGGTTCCCTGGAGAATGGAATGGCTACCCACTACAGTATTCTTGTCTGAAGAATTTCATGAACAGAGGGGACTGGCAGGCTATAGCCCAGGGTGTCACACAGAGTCAGACACAACTGAGCAAATAATGCGCACTTGCAATGTATTAAGGGGCTAAACCATTTGAAAAATTAAAAAAAAAATTCATAAATGCTCATTCTTCAAAAACCTGATTTTGAAAACGGAGTGAATCTATAAAATCATCAACAACTCAAATAGAAGACATTATTTCCAATGTCAAAACTTTTATTTATTTATTTATTTATTTACAAAGGATTGAGTTTTAGGTTAATATAATAACTTGAATATCTTTATCTTGGCCAGTAGAACTGTATTTGCATTGTCCTTTTAATTCACTATTATTATTCACTTTTAAAATTCTTGTTCAGTCACAAAGTTGTATCCAACTGATTGAGACCCCATGGACTGTAGCACACCAAGCTCCTATGTCCACTACTATTTCCTGGAGTTT